CCAAAATTTAAATTGTAACTTATTATAAACTTTTCCTTCACATAGTAATTCAGTTGCCTTCAATTATATCAACCTTGAAATTTATTCAATTTTCATGCATTGAAAATCAAATTAATCTTATGACACTTGACGTACATGCAGGGATATTTCATTCACTCATTATTAGAATTACTCATGAAAAAACACGATACAATCTCCAACAAAAATTTAATAAGCCATCACTTGGAAAGGTTAGGGCAGTAAAAAATTCATCTCAAAATATGAAACTGGAAGGCAAAGATACTTCATATATACGTGATATCAGGAAAGGAGAAAATATAGTTATCATGGGAGAAAAATGTGCGGTTTTAAAGATATATTCAGATACGAAATTAAAAGTTTCAGGATCTTTTCAGTGTATGATCGGTATTAATTCCTGGATGGAATTTCATATTGAACCTAAAACTAAGCTTAACGGATTCATAGATGCATATAAATTAATGTTTGAAAAATATCCCATTGATAATATTATTGGCTCTGGACAAAATCACACATTAAATTTACAAATAGCATTAGACTTAAGAGATTATGAAAAGATTTCAAATTATGAAAATAAATTTCAGAACTATGTAACAAATATGTTTGAAGAGTTAAAAAGACAAACGAACAAACCTGCAACTTCTATAAATCGGTAGTATATTTTAACTGTTTTGGTTTTCTTTTCAAATATCTTATGGTTATATAATTTTGTAGATTTGGAATATCGTGTTTATCTTTTTCAGACCTTGATCTAGAAAACTTGACTAATGAATTAAGTGATCTTAAAAAAAAACAGCTTGGTGAATGGATAATTCAACTTTGCATCTTGGTCCCGATACAAATTGCCATTGCACGAGATAATATATTTCAGCCAGTTTCCGATGGTTTATCATCGTTTGATTCAGAAATTGCTGATTCGGGTGCATTAAGTGTTGATGAAATTGCACAAAGCATAAGGTTATTTTTTCATTATTAATAATATTTGTAGCGATTACACAGAAATTTCTGATATTATTATTTTTTTTAGTTTTGGATGGTATGAGGGAATATTTAAATATTTTGGTAATAGGCCAGTAAAGGTTATTTCGAGTATGGGTGAACAGTAAGCATATTCTCTATTTAATTTAATTATGTATTTTCGGGTCAATATATTTATCAAAAAAAAAAATTTTATAATCAAAGGTTTTGTGGAAAATCGTAAGTATAAATATGCCTTTAAGTAATAAAAAGTCATATAACAAATTATTTTGATTTTTTTGATATATGCTAAATCATTTAATTGGAACAACATTTGATGGCTCCGCAATGGTAAGTTTTTTTTAATAAAAGTCTAATTGTTAAAGAAAATCCTAAAAGAAAATATTTGGTTCATTATTTTAGCGTTGTACCGAAGGAGTATGGATGTCCTTAGGTATATTTTAATTTAGTATTTCAAGAGTTATTATGTAGCACGAATTGATTTGTTCAAAATACAGCTATTACAAAAAAATGTATCTATGTCGCCTTGGTTTTCGAGGAGCTCGATCCTCTTTTATCAACACCACAAGAAGGTAATCTTCATACAGTTTTCAGATCAACTGTATTTCTTTGATAAATATAAGGAATCTAAACAAGAAAAATGTTTTGAATAATCCCATAATTATTTATAGATACGTTTTTGGCATTGTTCAATGCAATGATATCGGATCTTATTCTCTTTAGGGTAAAGAAACTTAATTTAATTGCTAATTCTATATTATTAATATTTATTTAACCAAATTTCTTTATTACAATTGACACAGAGTCAATTGACTGTCAGAAGGAATATGTTAACAACTTTTCGAAGATTCCAAAATGGTGTTGCACTATTTAATGACGAAAAAATATTTCAAGTAATAATAATTGTTTAAGTAAAATTAGATAATTCAATCTGTTCACTGATCTTAATTTTTAGGCAAAACTGTGCATCATAATTAAAGATGTACCTAGACAAGATCGTATAATTCGAAATAATGGGCATGGGTATTATTTCGCGAATTTACAAGTCACTTATATTACATTGGCCATTAATATTAAATCTTTCGTAGGAAAGTGAAAATAACTTTATAACAAATATGTTTCCGGGTGGTTTAAATATAATTCCTTGGCCAATATTTAATGACCCTAAGTGGTTTAATAGTTTAAAAGACATTAAAAAAATGTTAGATAAACAAGATGCAAAGTATGAAAATGCTCGAACATTTTTGCAAAACACGAAAGTTTTTATGGCTAAACTGAAAGTAACTATATATGCATATAATTATCATTCGGTAATATTTTAGGTTACAAATTCAAATACTTACAAATTTTATAGGTTTGTGATGGGGATTCTATAGATGAGAATCTTGTGCAAATCCGTGTATCTACGTTGAAAAGATTGCTTAATATTGCAATATCTCTCGGTATTGAGAAAAAAAATAATACAATAGAACACTTAATGGTATATTATGTTGTCTTTTGAATATTTGAAACTGTTATAAGAATGATGATAATTATCGTTGTTATATTTCAGAATCGTGATACTGGTGAAATAATTCCCGACCAAGTTATAAACTTGACTGAAATTTATGGTGACGTTACTGATGGATGTGACTTGATTTTAGATTCAGATCTTCGACTTTTAGATGAAAACACAGATTTTGTGCTATTATCAGCTGATTTGAGAATTTACTTTGAAAACAAAGTTCAAAACCGTAGAGATTGTTCTAATGATGCTGTGTGGTTTGAAAAATTATCGAAATTCTTTAAATTTATTGTTCAACGGCGAACCAATCGAGTACAAGAATGGTTTCAACAAAATACTAGCAAATTTTCACCCGATAATAGTGATGTTAAAGATGGAATATATCCATTAGATCAACTAGTCAGCAGGCTTTCACTGCTTTGGACACTATGTGGCCTTTCCTGTCAGGAGTGTAACTTAAAATGTCTGAAAAATCGTCATCATGAAGATGTGCATGACTGTTTGAGTGACCATAATTGCTATGCTACTTGTGAATTCGTTGAATTTCATACGAATGGCCTATTTCCAAGATGTAGTCACAAAGCAGGACATGGTGGAAAACATACATGCAATACGGTAATTAATCAAAAAGCAAAAAATTAAATACAGTCGAATCACGCAATGGTCAAACCAACATTTGTCGCAATCTTGTTATAATTAATTGTCGTAGCTGAAACTGGAAATGGCTGAAGCTGGAAATTTTAAATATTTTAATATGAAAATTTCAAAATTTTTTGGGATACATTTTTGTTTATGCTTTTTTTTAATAGTTAGCTTAGAATTTAGGGTTAGTTTTGATAATAAAAATGTATAATGGATTTTGGGAGATTTTATATTTTAGAATCGAGGTCCCTAATTCCAGCTTCAGCCATTTCCAGTCTCAGCTGCGACATTAATTTTCTGCCTGACCATATATGAGATTTTTGTTCGCATTAGTCACAATCCTGCGTTAGGCACATAGGTATCCTAATTTTAATATTTGACTGTTGCGGGAGATGACTGTGAGCTTTACTCATTCGGGTAACTAAACTTGAATCAAATATTTTCATTTTTCTGAATTTATAAATACTGTAGACAAGTCATCTATGTGGCAAACAATGTAAATTTAGTGACAAACGTAATTGTCAAACAAAATGTGCAAAAGAAATTGACCATGATGATGATGAACATATATGTCAATCAAACCGACATAATTGTGGTGCACCTTGTTCTCTGCAAGCCAATACTGAGAAGGGTTTTTATAAATGTCCTAACAAATGTATCATTCCGTGTGAAGATGAGCATGAACGACATTGTTGTGAAAATGATTCTGCATGTCCAATTCAATGTCCAATTCCTGATTGTCAACGACGATGCCAAAGTACAGATCATTTTCATGCTTTGCAATCGCAACAGATTCATTTTTGTGGGTATGTACTTGTGAAAAGTGTTTTACAGCATGTCTAGGATTCCATTTAAATCATGCTCATATTATATTACAAAAAGTAATGAGCATCAATGCCAAGAAGATTGTCAAGAGTTTAGGCATTTGCAGAGTATTAACTGAACCGAGAGAACAAGAGGTAGTTTATCAAGGTTTAGGTCAAGGGACTTCGATTATATTTACTAAGGTGTGATTTAAATAGGTTTGAAATTATTTTTTTTTAAAATTATATTTATGATATTATTATTGCACAGTATATTCAATTGAGTGAAAGAATTAAATGCTGCAAGAAAATTCCACCTAATGCCTTTCATCATGATGGTAAACACACTCATGATGAAGGCGGCTTTCATTATTGTGACGCCCAATGTAAGAATATATTTTGAATTTGTATATGAAATCTAATTTAATTTATCCATTTAACGAATTTTCATTATGAAATATTGTATAGGCCCATTTTGTAAATACTATGTATGTTACATTTCAGATATTTGTTGAAATACCTTTTAATTAATAAGCTAATTGATCGTTGTTCTAGTGCACTTTACCCTATGGTCACTTACAGCCGCTACATGATACTAAACATGGAAATATGGTTCAGATAGAATTTACTTCAGAAGATAAAGAATTCGAATATAGCGGGTACTTATATTAACAATTTCCTTTATATGTGCGTAAACTATACCAGATTAATAATATTTTAATATTATTTATATACAAAGCGATAAACTGAGTGCAGGTGATCACGGAACATTTGTACTTTGTAACTTGGTAAGTTGTTTTCAACAATACAAAGACTATTTTGATCATTAATGTTTTATATTATATATTATAGTACTGCAAGGAATTTGGACGTCATCGTCATATAGATTATTGTCAAGACGCTTCAACATGTAAACCCAGTGCGAATAAGAGACATATTGATGGTAAAAATTATATTATTTGTCCTTTTTTTATTTGATCTATTCTCATGCGCCCTAAAATTTTAGTCCATCTGGAAAAGCCAAAAGATTATATTTCTCATAAACTATTTTGGGAACGTACAGGATTTAAGGGTATATATAATTTCAAAGGCATGATTTTGCAATATACTTAAACTAAAGAATTTGTTATAGACCCCTATTCAGTTCAAGAACAAGAAATGTTTGAAAAATGTGATCATGAGTGTGCTGATGAGGTACATCAGCAAAAGAAAGGATCTAATATTATACCTAACAGATCATTTTTGTGAATTACCGTTGTTTCATGCACCTCTTAAATTATCTGATGCTCCACCAAATGGCATCGGATATATTTCCCTTGATGGACACTACTTTACATGTGACAAACCTGCAAAAAAGGAAGGCTCATTTCATATAATTTTTACAATTGATCGATCTTCATCTATGAGTAGGGGTGATAACAAACCATTGCAAAATACTCCTGTTTATAATCTTTTAATAGCACAGCATAACAACAGGATGGGTGCTGTATATAGTGCTGTAAATATTTGTTTTTCCTCTAACAGAGGATTTCTTCAGACACGTGACTTTTTCCTAAATTAAAATATTAATTCTAAAAATTTTTTATATAATTGCAAAGGTTTATTCATTTATGGAAGCAAGGCTGGCCGCACAAGCAAGGTCACAATTACAATCCACTAATAAGGATACTGTATCACTGATTCTTTTTAATGGTGAAGTTATTGTGCCATTTGAGAATCATGTGTTGACGGATTCTAAGATGATGCTAAACCAGATGTTACCACATGGCGCAAGGGGTGGGATTAACTTTAACCTAGCAATTCAAAAAGCAGGAAGTTTAATTAATAACTATTTTGATCCGGCAAGGTATTTAATTTAAACATTATCACTCATTGTATTCTCTTAAATCGTTGCCTAAAAAAAATTATTAATTTCAGAGTGAATGTAATTATATTTCTTTCTGGTGGTGGATGTAGTACACCGAAAAGTCAGCTTGAACAAATCTGTAAATATAATAGTGATAAAGGGTAAATAAATTTTGAAATATCTTTCAATCGTATAATTCTAATTTCTTAAAATGCTATTTAATGATTTTAAATCAGGAACCCACTATATCTTATAACTGTTTTATTTGCTGGTGGAAGTGACGGTCCTTTAAGAGAAATGGCTGAGATTGCTGGCCGACATAATCCGGCAAACAAGATTGGAAATGCTTTACGTTGTCACTTTACTAGCGCTATGAATGAAAGCAATTTTAAAAATTATATGAGTGCTGCTGTAACTATTAATTCGGGAGAGAACTAAACTAAACCGATTTACACTCTAATAGTTACTGGGAGATAGGCTCTGATTTACTTTAATAAAAGTCTCTTCAGCACTACACTAGCTTACTTC